ACCGAGGACATCCCCTCACCGAGCCCTGCAGATACGCCAGGGCTCCTGCCTACCCCTGGCCAGACCAGGGCCCTGAAGTCCTGCCTGGGCCCAAACCCGGGCAGCACTGCCCGGCCCCCATCCTGGGGGTCAGCCAGGGGAGCTCAGTGGAGGAAGCTCCGAGGGCCCACTGTGCCCACCCACACTGGTCCCTGGGGACTGCACCTGGGAAGACAGGTCTCTGTCCTCCAGGGGCCCCTCCAGGGACCAGCCGGACGTGACAGAGCAGTGACAGCTCTGGGCGGGCGGGCCTCTCCCGGGGGGCTGGGGGTTGGCAGGCAGGTGGGGCTGCCCCCGCCCAGGGTCTAGAAGCTTCCAAGGCAGTTTCAGGCAGCCTGGCAACTCCTGGGGGTGAGGTGGGGGCTTGGAGCCAGAGGCCTGGCTGACCACTGAGCAGCCTGGAAGAGGGGCTGATGTGGAGGAGGGGGGACACGACCCCAGGTGTTGGGGATGGGGTGGGAGAGCACAGAGGGGCACTCAGCACCTGGAGCAGGGGCTGGAAAGGACAGTTTGTAAGGGGGAACACGTGGGCCCGAGGCCACAGGCAGATGGACAACCGGGTGGCTGCATTGAGGGGGCACTGGCAGGGGGCTGGAAGCCAGGCTCAGGCCCCTCCCTGCCCTACCCTGGCCTGTGAGCTGCAGCCCTGAGAGACGACCAGCAGTGAGGTCCATGGGTGGAGGCCCAGGGTGCCTGGTGGGGGGCCTTGCCCTGAGGGTCCAGCCCCGTCTGGAACAACCCCCACACTGTGCTTGGTCCTCTTGCCCAGCACAGGCAGGGGTGCCTCCCCCCGGCACCCCTGGCATGGCCGAGGGCCTGGCCCCACTTACCAGCTCCCCGAAGCCCCCGCAGCCTAAGGGTGAGCCCTGCAGACAGCCCCCCAGGAGGAATTAGGGGCCATACTAGCCCAGGGTGGGGTGGGCGGGTAGGGCAAGATAGTGCTGTGGGCCTCAGCAGGTGGCTCTCTGTTCCTGAGCCACAGTAGGGGTGGGGTGGGTGGAGACAGCTTCCCCACATGTTCTCCGCTGTCTGCACCCCACCCTGGGAGGTGGATTGGATCCCCTGAGCATCCTCCTGGAGCCCTCGTGGGGCTCTGGACCCCACCTCCCCTCCCCTCCCCCTACCCATTTCCTCTGCCATCCCAGCTCCACCAGATGAGCACAGCATGCGTCCTCATTCCCAAAACACAAACCCACACACCGGGCACACCCACCCTCCCCACTTACAGCCCTGGCGAGGGGACAGCTGGCATCATCAGGGCTGGGGAGGGGCATGTACCGCCACCGGGAAGAATGAGGAGGAAGTGGCCGGGAAAGGCTGGGGGCTTTGGCCAGTGGGGAGCTGTGAGGGGCTCAGGCGCTGAACAGCTCTTGAGCTCTTCCCAAGGAGCAGGAACCAGCTCAGGGGGACAGCCCCGAGTGGGTGAGACACCCCAGTTGGCCTGGCACAGACTGGATGAGGGCAGGGTACAGAGAGCCTTGGGTGTCCATGTGATAGGTGAGAGGTTCCCCCGGGTCCCACTGCCCAGAACCTGGGCCCTGCACCCCCAGACCTCAGCACCCAGCACCCAGCCCCGGCCTCTGCTCTCCCCACTGCCTGCTTCCTGCACCAACCTCTTGATTCACGGCCCTGGCCCCCTTGGCCGAGGGAATCTCCCCATGATGTGTGTGGCGTGTCTGCCGGGGCCTCTCCGCCGTGCCGGGCGTGCAGTGGGCCCACGAGGGCTGGTGGGCCCACGAGGTTGGCGCTCTGCAGATCTTCCCAGTGCTCCTGCCCCAGGCTGAGGGGCCCGAAGTTGGAGGTCAGCTGCCTCTGGGATGCATTCAGTGTTTCCGGAACCCGTCCTGAGGCCAGGGTCTGTGCAAGGAGGGTGTGGTGGGGTGGGGTCTCCTGTCCTGGGTGCCTGCAGGGCTCCAGAGCCCAGGGCAGACAGACAGGTGACAGCCTCTCTCTTATCCCTGTGACAGGAGGTGGGCCCCGAGGCAGCCAAGGCCTCCCAGTCAACACAATCATCGATGTGGACCGTGTCGTTGGCTTGGCATCCGGACTGGGCGGCAGCATTTTGGGGGTGCAGACGGGCCCCCGGAGGTCACAGGCCTGCGGACCCCTAACATCAGACCTCCCTGGCCTGAGCCCCATCCCAGGTGGGCCCGCCAAGCCCAAGGCCAGCCCGCACCACGCGACGTTCGTCTGAGGCTGCCCGCAGTCCTCCCCGCCCGCCGGCTGTCGCTCCCCACCCTCGTCTGAGCTGCCCCACCTGGACATGCATGTGGAGGCCACGATCTCAAGGGGCAGCCTCAGCCCATCTTGAGGGCCTTGGAGCCAAACCAGGAGAGGGCAGGGGGCCTGGCCCCGGACACTCGCCACAGCTGGCTCAGAGGGCTCCTTGGACCCTGTGCCCCGATGCCCCTCAGCGTCCAGCCTTCCCCCAATAAAGCGACCTTGAGGACCCCCCGAGTGTCGGCCTCGTGCTGGGTGCTGGGGTCCCAGACCTGCCCTCAGGGAGCCGTTGTTCCTGTGGGGCTCTGTGAACGCATCGGGGGAGGGGCCGAGGAGAGGAGGGCTCTCCGGTGAGGTGAAAGGTGGGCAGGACCAAGCCAGAGAACTGCAGGGAGCGAGGAAGCAAGCCTGCCGGGTCAGAGGCCCGTCTCCACCGCTTCGTGCCACCCCTACAGGCCAACACAGGGTGTCCTCTCTAGGTGGCCTCCACTGGGGGCCAGGCTCGGCCCGGGAGACCCGCCAGCTCTGCAGGTCACTGTGGTCTACGGCTCTGAGCCAGGTCTTCTGTCCAGGCCCCTGGTCTGTGCTCTGAGGCTCCCGGGGGCACAGTGGGACCCTTCAGGCCGCCGTGCCCTGTCCCCCTGTCCTCGGCCTCATTTAGAGGGTGGTCTGGCAGGGCCTGTCTGTGGAGGGATCATCTGAGCAGAAGCCTGGCTGCTGAGAAGGCCTGGAAAAGAGGGTCAGGCCGTGCAAAGGCCCTGAGGCTGGAGTGAGTCTGATTACAGAACGGCTTGAGCTTTAGTCAGGAGGGGACAGGGTGGCAGGCCAGGCCAGTGGGCAGGGCCACCATGTGGTGTTGGGCCGAAGCAAATAGAGACGGAGCCATCAGCCCAGGTTGCCTCGGTGGAACCCCAACGTTGAGCAGCGGAGTGCTGAGGGGCCCCCCACACTCCTCCCTTCTTGGCGTTGGCAGGGGGAGGGTGTCTTGTCATGTCAGGTTTGTCAGAGAGGGCCCTAGGCCTGAGAGCGCACAGCAAGGCCGCTGGGGTTGTTCTGGATGCTTCCAGGGAGTGGCCCCCAATGAGCGGTGCTCTGAGCAGGGGCCCGGGGGAGGTGTCTGAATGGGAGAGGGGCCCAGCACCACTGTGCCCCCAGCACCAACTGTGCCCCAGCACCACTGTGCCCCCAGTGCCCACTGTGCCCCAGCACCACTGTGTCCCCAGTGCCCACTGTGCCCCCAGTGCCCTCTGCCCCCAGCGCCCACTCTGCCCCCAGCACCGACTGTGCCCCAGCACCACTGTGCCCCCAGCGCCCACTGTGCCCCAGCACCACTGTGCCCCCAGCGCCCACTGTGCCCCAGCACCACTGTGTCCCCAGCGCCCACTGTGCCCCCAGTGCCCTCTGCCCCCGGCACCCACTGTGCCCCCAACACCACTGCCCAGTGCCCACTTTGCCCCCAGTGCCACTGTGCCCCCAGCACCCACCGTGCCCCAAGCACCCACTGTGTGCCAAGCTAGGTACCCACTCAGCTTCTGCTCTCCCTCCCTCTGCACAGAGGGGGGCTCAGAGAGCATGCGGTTTGGGGCGCACAGCGAGACAGCTGTGGTGCCAGGCGAATCCCCAGACCAAAGTGGAGAGCCAGCCGCCAGCCCTCCCCTCCGCCCCATGCGGGCAGCAGAGCTGACTCATGGGGAACCGGCGGGGCCCCTGTCTCCACAGCCATACAGAAATTGCAGAAGAGGTTCCCATGGCAGCTCTGCCGCAGCCCCCAGTCACGCATTCTGGGGCTGGGTGGGGGGACTACTGCAGCTGCGTCCGGAGGGTAGTGTTCCCACCCCGGTTCACAGGTAGGAAGGGCAATGTGCACGCAGACCTAGGCAGGACCCCAAGCCAGGTCTCTGTGGCCCTTGATGGCTCCTAGGTGTCTGGCTAGGGCTCTGCGGGGGACTAGAGATACCCAGAGACAGCCCGACCCAGCCAGGGCTAAGGATGGGGTGGGGGCCAGACCTGGACAGAGATGGGGACAGTGAGGTCATCCAGGCTGTGATGGCGGAAGCCCAGGGCCAAGGGAGTCCAGGGCTGGGAAGGCTTCCTGGAGGAGGTGCCCAAGCGGGTCCAGGAGAGGTGGGGGAGGGAACACTCCTGGGCACCCCCAAAAGTTAGGGCAGGCACACAGGCAGCTCTGGTACTGCCCACCTCCCCCAGCTCTACTCCCATGAGGGTCCCTATCCCAGGCGCATCCCGGGAGGGGCCAGGCTTAAGTGCTGGGGGCAGCAGAGGTCCGCATCCTGGGGTCACTGTTTGTAACACAGGCCGGTGCACACACCCTCCTCTCTGTGCCTGGCCTGTTGCCCTGGGGCCAGCACCCCACCCTCCATCCCGGGCCCTTGAAAGGGCTCAGCACTGGTAGCTGCTCTGGTTATGAACAGTTCACAAACAGACAGTGGCCAGCCCCTTGGCCAGGCGGGGACTGGAAGCTGGGACCTGTAGTCTAGGGGGCCTGCCATGTCTGGAAGACTTCCTGGAGGAGGCCTCTAAGCCGAGACCTGAGGACGTTGTCAGGTCCAGGACCAGCATGGCTGAGGCCAGAGGGAACAGGTGGGCCCTCTGTCCTGGGCGAGGTGAGCCTGGCAGCAGATACGGAGGACTTGTGGGCCAAGCACAGGAGACAGCCGGGGTTAATCATTTCCAGGTGGCCTTGACCCCCACCGGCCCTGGCCGCTCTGCTCCTGCCTCCTGCTGCCCCTCACGCCAGCTCAGGAGGAGCCATGGGGCGCTGGGCCTGGGTCCCCAGCCCCTGCCCTCTGCCCAGGCTGTCCCTGCTGCTGCTGCTGCTGCTGCTGGCACCTCAGGAGGCCCGGCCCCAGGCCGGCAGGGTGAGCACTGACCCATCGCACTGGGACCGTGGGCTCCCGTGCCCACTCTGGGTCTTGGGGCAGAGGCCAGGGCAGGGATATGGAGGAGTGGGGGCCCCACATGGTGAAAGTTGGCCTTCAGGGGTGAGGTGGGCTTGCTGGGCTGGCCTGGGGGACGGGCCCTGCCCCGGGCCCTGGGGGTCCAAGTGTCTGAGGCTGGAGGTGGGGGCTCCAACGGCCTCACAGCTGCTCCTGTCCCTGCCCCAGAACGTTCCCCAGGATTCAGGCCTGGAGGGCAGTGCTACCCCGGCCTAGGCAGACCCTGAGCCAGCCCCGTCTAACCCATTGGGCTCGGTGGGAGGGGGAGAGGATGGGCCCCACTGAGGCCTCAATGTTCAGTGTCCCCCTGGTCCCTGCTCCGAGACCTGATGGCCCCAATATGGAAACAGGCCTGGGGCTGCGAGAAGCCTACCCAGTGGGTCCTGACCGAGGCGGGGCCGGCCCACAATGACGCTGGTCACAGCCCTCTTGGCTCCTCCTAGAGCCATACGGAAACCCCAAAACCTAATGCCACAGTGATCCCTGGAATCCCCATGATCCCCGTGACGTCGGTGACTCCCAACACGAACGCTTCAGAGGCAGAGGGACCTGGTGGTGAGGAACTCACTCCTCTGCCTGGCAGCAGCCCTGGGGGCCCAGGTGAGTCAGGAGGGCTTTCTGGAGGAGGTGGCGGGCTGCACCTGGACGGGTGGGTTGGGAGGAACACGGGCAGCGCTGGGGAGTGAGGTGTGCGATGAGGAGTCAGGAGGTGCCCAGCATGGGAGCCCCTTGACCCTTGCACCTCCCCCGGCAGTGCTCACCGAGGACGGGCGGCCGTGCAGCTTCCCCTTCCGCTATGGCGGCCGCATGCTCCACTCCTGCACTTCGGAGGGAAGCGCCCACAGGAAATGGTGGGTCCCGGGCTGCAGCAAGGCTTGCAAGCACAGACCAGCAGCCCCCCTCCTCCCAGTCCCCACGGCCTTGTCCACCCTGGAGACCTGCCCACCCTCCGCCCCCACCCCTGCTCCAGACTGAGCCTGTCACACGGCAGGTGTCTTGAATGACTGAATGAATGAGTGAGCGAGTGAATGGCAGAGAGCTCCAGAGTGGTCAGAGGGGTGCCCTGCATGGGTTGGGGCTGGGACCCCCACATCACTGCACACATTGCCCCCAGGTGTGCCACGACTCACAACTATGACCGGGACAGGGCCTGGGGCTACTGTGTGCAGTCCTCCGCGCCCCGGGAGGACCCAGGTGGGTGCCCGGGGGTCCGGAAGGCCTGAATCTGGCTAGAGGGGCTGGGGCTGGGGGTGAGCTTGGGAGGTGCCAGGGTCAATGTGCTGACGGAGGTGGGGGTCAAGAGCACAGAGCTGTCTGGAGGGCAGGAGAGGGCTCCAGGATTGATCCCACTGCAGGCCTGGTGGGCCGGGCGGCGACAGAGAAGCCACCAGCCCAGGAGACTGCAGGAGTGTGGAGGGGGAAGCCCCCCCCCACCCCGGCAGGACCCTGTCCTCTCCAGGCTGCAGCTGCCTTAGTCATTGCTGGGCCCAAGGTGCCCTCTGGTGGTCTGGCCGGGCCCTGCGGCCACAAAGGCAGAGCCCTGGACAGGGGGGAGGACCTGCGGGGTCTGCAGGGTGCAGTGTTGGCAGCTTGCTTATGAGGGTCCCAGGGCACATGGGAGGGGACTATGCTGCCTGACGGGGGGGGGTTGGGCTTCCAGAGTGCCGAGTGTAGAGCCAGGGGCCCCTACCCAGGGTCTAACTGCCAGGTGGGGCGTCTGGGGAAGCCCGTGCCCCCCCCACCCCAGGCCCCTGCACCCCAAGGGACCCAGAGGGGCCGCTTTAAGGCAGCAGGCCCGATGGAGGCACTGCCATCCCTCAGCAAGCAGGAGGGTCCTGGCTGGGGGACACACAGACTGGCCCGGCTCTCAGACGCTCCCTCCCCTCCTGCGTGTCCCAGCTGCCCCGGATCCCTGCTCCTCCAGCCCCTGCCGCAACGGGGGCTCGTGCTCCAACACCCAGGCCCCCGAGTCCTACCATTGCACCTGCCCCGTGGCCTTCACGGGCAAGGACTGTGGCACCGGTGAGCGGGCCGCGGGGGCCAGGGCAGATCCTGGGAGGACGGGGTGGGAGGGTGGCCGCTGAGTGCAGGGGGAGGGGCCAGCGTGGGGCAGTGGTGTGCAGGGGGCAGGGGACTCACTCTGCGACCTGCAGAGAAATGCTTTGACGAGACGCGCTACGAGTACCTGGAGGAGGGCGACCGCTGGGCCCGCGTGCACCAGGGCCGGGTGGAGCGGTGCGAGTGCGCGGGGGGCCGGGTCCAGTGCGAGGGCACCCGCCACACAGGTACCTATGGCCGGGGGAGGGGTCACAGAGCCTTCCAGACCCGTGTCCCCGCCCCACTCGAGGGGAAGGAACTCGCCCAGGGGCACCCAGCGATGAGCTCCAGGGGTCGGATCCAGGCCCTGACCCCACCCCCACGAGGCCGGCCCCTCGAGGCCTGAGGCCTAGCTTCTGAGCCCTCCCCCCAGCTTGCCTGAGCAGCCCCTGCTTGAACGGGGGCACCTGCCACCTGCTCGTGCCCACCGGGACCTCCGTATGCGCCTGCCCCCCAGGCTATGTCGGGCGGCTCTGCAACATCGGTGAGTCGAGTCGCTTGGCCTTCCAGCCACGTGGGTCGGTCTCCTGGCCCTGCACCCTGGGGACCGGGAGTCAGGGTGGACGCAGCCTCGGGCCCAGGCTCACCCAGCCCACGCCGCCCACAGTGCCCGCCCATCGCTGCTTCAAGGGGGACGGCACGGAGTACCGAGGCGTGGCCAGCACTGCTGCCTCGGGCCTCAGCTGCCTGGCCTGGAACTCAGACCTGCTCTACCAGGAGCTGCACGTGGACTCCGTGGGCGCCGCGGCCCTGCTCGGCCTGGGCCCCCACGCCTACTGCAGGTCAGCACCGGCCTGGCCTGCCCCAGGCCGCCTAATCCCGGGCGGGTGGGGTCTGTCCTGGGGGAGCCCTCCTGCCCTGGCCTGCCCCCGGGGGCTTCTGGCCGCTCGGCCTGGGAGGTGGTCCCCGTGAGGAGAGCCTGCGGCCGGGATCAGGCCCACGGGGCCCAGGCCACTGTGTCCATCTGCAGAACGAGCAAAACGCTGTTGGGGGTGTCCCAAGCCGCACCCTGCTAGGCGTCCCCATTTCTCTCTCCCGCTTGCCCTCTCTGAGGGGCAATGTGGCTCCCCCAACCCGCCTCTCGTGCTCTCCAGGAACCCAGACAAGGACGAGCGGCCCTGGTGCTATGTGGTGAAGGACAGCGCGCTCTCCTGGGAGTACTGCCGCCTGGCGGCCTGCGGTGCGCAGCGGGCCCCACCCCCACCCAGCTCACAGCGGAGGCCCTGTCGCCCTCCCCACCCCTCCCCCACGCCTGGCCTCTTCTCTGGGCAACCACTGCTCCCCACCTGAGACGGGGAAACTGAGGCTCAGTGGAGTAGGGCTGGTCCAAGGCCACGCAGGAGGTTGGCACCAGGGTCAGAGCGGGCATGCCGGTCACCAGGTCCTCCAGGTGGCTCCCGCCCAGCCTGAACCATGCCGGGACGGCCCCCAAAAAACATGGTGGGAGGGGGCTGGCCCGGTGGTGTAGTGGTTGAGCTTGCACGCTCTGCTTTGGCAGCGCGGGGTTCGTGGGTTCAGATCCCAGGCATGGACCTACGCACTGCTCATCAAGCCATGCTGTGGCGGCGTCCCATATAAAGTAGAGGAAGATGGGCACAGATGTTAGCCCAAGGCCAGTCTTCCTCAGCAAAAAGAGGAGGACCGGCAACGGATGTTAGCTCAGGGCTAATCTTCCTCACGCAAAAAAAAAAAACAAAAAAAACCCCCACAAAACCATGGGTGGGAGGTCCAGCAGGCACCCCTGGAGTCAGACCCAGGGGTGGGCAGCTCCATGAAGCCAGTCCGTTCTCTGACCCCTGAGCCCCAGGGCTCTCGAACCATCCTGGGGTTGGCTCTGGGGTCCAGGCTGCTGGGAGGGACGTGAACACCTGCCAGGTGTGCCAGGCCACTCTGGTTCCCACAAGGCTTTGTGACTGGACATTGTTCTCCTCATCCTACAGATGAGGAAACTGAGGCTCAGGGAGTAATCATGTGCCCACAAGGGCAGAGCTGGACCCGAGCCCTGGACTCTCTTCCAGATGAGCTGCCTGGGGTGGGGCAGGAGGCGGGTGAACCACCAGGGGTCCTGAGGATGGTGGACAGTGAGTCCAGCCAGGACCCTCTCTGGCCTGGGGTGAGTGGAAGGAGCCCTGGCGTGTGACCTGGTGACCTGTGCTCCCAGGATCCCTTGCCAGAATTCAGCCCCTGCCCCCCGAGGTCCTGCTGACCCTGCCTGAGCCCGCCCCAGCTGGACGCCAGACCTGCGGTAAGCGGCACAAGAAGAGGAGCTTCCTACGGCCACGCATCATCGGTGGCTCCTCCTCCCTGCCCGGCTCCCACCCCTGGCTGGCCGCCATCTACATTGGGAACAACTTCTGCGCTGGGAGCCTTGTCCACACCTGCTGGGTGGTGTCTGCGGCCCACTGCTTTTCCAACAGGTGAGCGGCTCTGGCCCCAGTGTCCACAACCCCTACGCCATCCTTCAAACCATCACTCGTCCACCCCGCATCACCTTCACGTCCACCCACCCAGCCAGCCATATACCCACATCCATTCCACATCTTTCCACTCCCTCAGCCACCTATCTACCCACCTACCCTCCATCCCCCATCTATCTCTCACCCACCCATTCACCCATCCCCCATCCACCTATCCATCCATCTACTGCCATCCCTCCCTCTGTCCATCCACCCATCACCTACCCTCCATCCCCCACCCGCCCATCCATCCCCCATTCCCCACCCATCCAGCCCCACCCACCCACTCACCCATCCTTCACTCTCCCTCCCCATCCCTCATCTGCCTGTCCTCACACACTTCTTCCTAACCATCACCCACGTGTCCCCATGTGTCCCCACCTACCCATGTAACCCCCATCCTTCGGCCCCTCCGTCCTCCGTCGCCCCTCTGACCATGTGGGACTCAGTGCTCAGCCCGGTGCTGGGCGTGGCGGCTGCAGAGACCCGCCCCGTCCCCGCCCCGGGTGGCTGTCCAGTCCTTGCCCTGAGAGCTCTCGGCAATCGCGCTCAGGGCGGGGCGGGGCGGGGCGGGGCGGCTCTAGGAGGAGCGGGGAGCGCGCGTGCGCAGCAGGGCGGTGGGCGGAGCCGTCCCTGGTCCCCGCGCAGACCCCGCCCTCCAGGCCCCGCCCCCTGGCTGTGCAGGAGGCACGGGGAGTGGGGGCAGGAAATCGGAGGCCCCGCCCACTCAGCGGGTCCCCGGGGGAGGGCGGCCCGGGGCTGGCAGCCAGGCGGGGCCTCAGAGTTCGAGTTCGACCACACACCCAGGGGGTCAGCGAGCTGGGAGCAGGAAAGTCCAGCCCCTGTCCCACTCCCACCGGGGTGATGGGGGCGAGGCTCTGCCTGGGCGGCTCCCCCTGGGGGTCCGATGGGAGGGGATGGGCCTGACAGTGGCATTCCAGGGATCAGGGGCTAGGAGAGGGCTGGGAGTTTGGCAGCGTGAGGGTCGGGCAGTGAGCCCCCCTCAGTCACCCCGGGGACTACAGCGTGGGTGGGCAGTGGGCGCAAGTCCTGCCCTGTGCTGACGGTGGTGTGGCCTGCAGCAGGCTCCCTGCTGGGCCTGTGAAATTGGCCCCCTGAGGCCTCCTCACATGGAATGGGATGGGAGGGGGTTAAAAGGCTGGGGGAGCGCAGCAGGCATCCACTCCCCACATCCAGGGAGGGGTTGGGGAGCGGCCAAGCGGGGGTGGGGGGGAGTGGAGTGTGTACCCATCCCCTGTGGGCGGGACCCCAGCATGCTGATCCCAGGTCTGGCTAAGCAGGGCTGGTGGAGGTAGGCAGAACAGGACAGGTGTGGACAGGCGGGGTTGAGGGCAGGGGGCTGGCTCAGGCTCCTGGACACCAAGGTGGCCTCACAGGAGGGGCGTGTTCCTTTAGTGGGGGCAAAAGGCAGAACCTGCTGCCCAGAGCTGATGCAGAGGGCACCAATGCCCACCCCCACCACCGCAGCCCCCAGTTCCACACAGCTCTTTCAGCCTGCAACACCCCATCCCCCTCGGGCCCTTCGGAGGCCTGGGGGTTTCAAGCCCCGAGCTCACTGTCCATCCACCCTAAGAGGCCGCTTGAGTGAGGCCCAGGAGCCCCGGCTCTGGCCCTGGACTTGGGCTGCTGGCCCTGCCTGGGGGCCAGGGCACCGAGCCCCACTGTGTGCTGGGCGTCCGGCTGCCCTCAGTGTGGGAGCCCATTTTCCAGAAGGGCCTGAGGCCTGGGAGGGCTGAGTGGCCAAGGTCCCGCAGTGGCCTGGAGGTGGAGTCCGAGGCAGGAGGGCTGAGCCGGGGTGGGAGTGACACCATACACAGCAGATGGGAAAACGGAGGCCCAGATTGTGCCTCGGGGTCAGCAGAGGGGCTGACTAAGGAGGCCCAGGATCTGTGCCCAGCGGGAGTAAGGGCCTGTATCCGGGGCACCACACGGACCAGGGGCTGCAGGCAGGGCTGGGTATCTACCCACTGGGGCCCAATCTCAGTGCCACACCTTCCGCCCCCCCCCCCACCTCACCCGGCATGAGGCCCACCCGGGGTGACTAAAGGGGTGGAGTTAGAGATGGTGCCGCCCAGGACTACGGGTGTGGCTGCAGCCCACCGCTCCCTGCTGTCACTACTGCCCACCCGCCCACCCCTGCTTAGCCTTTCCCCAGGGCTGCGGGGGCCTGCTCTGCCTCGCCCTCCTGGGGCTGTGTCTGGCATGCATGGGCACCATGGGTGGGGGGAGAGCCAACCTCAGGGGCCCGAGGAGAAGGCCAGGGTCACGCTGCCTCCAGCTTCCCCTGCACAGCCCCCCCAGGGACAGTGTCTCGGTGGTCCTGGGTCAGCACTTCTTCAACCGTACAACGGACGTTACACAGACGTTTGGCATCGAGAAGTACATCCTGTACCCCCTGTACTCGGTGTTCAATCCCAGTGACCACGACCTCGGTGAGGCTTGGGACATGGTGGGGTACAGCAGGGCTGGGGATGTGTGCTCGGCACACCCGGGCCAGAGCCGGGAGAGAGGCAGGGGTGGGCACCAGGAAGGCCTCAGACACGGTGGGAAGGAGGGGGAGGAAAGGGAGGAGGGGGAGAGGGAGGGGAGGGAAACGAGGGGAGGGCAGAGGGAGAAGAGAAGGGAAAGAGGAGGGGGGGGAGGGGGTCCAGGGCCACAAGGGTGCCGTGTGGCAGAGTGGCCTCGGCCTGGCGGGAGGAAGCCCTGGGCCAGCCCTCTGCAGCCTCCTGGGTCTCCTGGGCCACAGCCCCTCTGCCCAGTAGGGGCTGCACCACCGTGTGACTCAGTGGCCACCCTCCAACCATCATGACCTCCACACCCCAGGCTGACCTCTGTCCTCTCTCCCGCCCAGTCCTGATCCGGCTGAAGAAGAAGGGGGACCGCTGTGCCGTCCGCTCCCAGTTTGTCCAGCCCATCTGCCTGCCTGAGCCCAGCAGCCCATTCCCTGCTGGACACAAGTGCCAGATTTCGGGCTGGGGCCACCAGAACGAGAGTGAGTAAGGGTGGGAGCAGCCTGCCCACGTGGCGCCTGGGGGGTGGTGGCTGGCACGGTGGGCCTCCGCACCCTGAGAGCACTGCGTCTGCAGACGTGAGCGGCTACTCCAGCTCCCTGCGGGAGGCGCTGGTGCCCCTGGTCGCCGACCACAAGTGCAGCAGCCCGGAGGTCTACGGGGCCGACATCAGCCCCAACATGCTGTGCGCCGGCTACTTCGACTGCAAGTCAGACGCTTGCCAGGTGAGCCTGGACCTACGGCCGCCCCCGGGAGCTCAGAGCTGAAAGGGACCCAAGCCGCAGGGCTAGCCAGGAGCCAAGGCAGAGAGCATGCCCGCTGGTCAGCTGCTCCTTCTGGAGGCCCTCTGAGCGGGGGAGGGAGACCCCTCCTCTTGTGGACTGGAGTCCCAGGGAGGGGCTGGCGTCACAAAGCCGGACATGGCCCAGCTGTCCAGCCAAAGGCAGGGCTGTCCTCAGGACACCAAAGGCCCAACCCCTCTTCATCCAGAGTTCTCCCATGTGGGCTCAATCGATCAGCCAGTCCCAATAATTAACACTTATTGGGGGCTCCATGGGCGAGGTCTCGTTTAGGCTGCACATCAACCCTGAGACGGAGGAGCTGCTCTACTCCCATCTTATAGGTGGGGAAACTGAGGCCAAGAGAAGTCCAATCACTCTTCCAAGGTCACACAACTCAGAATTGGCAAGGAGGGGGGAGCTTGACACTGGACCACGTGGTACAGCGAGCGCCCTGGGGGCAGTCAAGGATGGCTTCATGGAGGAGGGCGTTTGCACCTGTCCTGAGGGGTGAATAGGAGTTTGCCAGGTGGTGAGGAGGGCATTTCAAGCAGGGGAGAGAGTATGTGCCGGAACACAGGGGGCCCCCTGGTCCACATGGGGTGCTGGGGGCTGGGGGGCCAGACTGAGGAGCGCCTCGCTGGGCACGGAGGTGAGAGGGAGCCACGGCGGGGCTTTAGGAACGGGAGTGACTGGCCAGACGCTGACACAGCGGCCAGGAATGAGATGGCCGCCTGTCTACGAGCTTCGGGGAAAGAGGGACAGCTCCCCACTGGGAAATACCTTCGCCATCCGTCCCCCACGCTGTGAGGAGCCCACCCTGAGAGCTCCTGGGGGTCCTGCGTCCCAGGGGAGCGGCTGGGACTCTTCTGGGCTTTAGCTCCTCTGAGGACATTTTCGGGGATGGGGTGAGGGAGGCCGAGACAGGAGGCGGTGGGGCTGTTCTGGGGTGCAGAGGCACGGACCACGGGTCTCCCCAGCCGGCCCTGGCCCTGACTGGCTGCTCCGCGGCAGGGGGACTCTGGCGGGCCCCTGGCCTGTGAGAAGAACGGTGTGGCCCACCTGTACGGCATCATCAGCTGGGGCGACGGCTGCGGGCGCCTCAATAAGCCTGGTGTCTACACCCGCGTGGCCAATTACGTGGACTGGATCAACGACCGGATTCGGCCCCCTAAGCGGCCTGAGGATCGCTCCTGAGACCCCCGGGGGGCATCCTGCCTCCGCACCGTTCCCCGCCTCGCTGGCAATAAAGACGTTTCCAGGAACCTGGCCCTTGCTGCCTGTCCTGCTGCCCCAGCTCAGCCCTCCCTCCCAGGCCACCGCCCAGGCCACACTCCTGGATGCCGTGGCCTCCGGCTGGGGACCTGGAGCAGCACCCCAGCTGCCTGCCTCAGTGGAGAGGGGAGCCTGCGACCTCACAGGGAGGGTCTGGCCCTGTGGCCCAGGGAGTCAGGGCAGGGGGTCCAGTCCCAGCCCCTCTCAGGCCCACGCCCCTCAGGCCTGCCCCTAGGCAAGTGGGGCTCAGGTCCAGGCACGCCAGGTTGTCCCAGAGCAGGCCACGGAAGCCGAGTCCAGGCCACAAGGCCAGGGCAGGGCCCAAGCCGAGTAGTGCATGGGGTGTTAAAACTTCAGACAGGGCAGCCGGGAACACCCACTGGCCATCCTTGTGCTTCAGGAGGGCAGCCTGACTGTAGCGCTCCCTCGCCATGTTGTCCAGGAGGGGAAAGCTGGAGACTTCCTCTGAAAGAAACCCGGCCAACAGATGCCAGGCTGGGTCAAGGGTAGTGGGTGGCTCCTGGTAACTGGACTTCTTGGAGCCATCCCTCTGCCCAACCATGCAGGATCCGGTGGGGAAGGAATCTTAGATCCCAGAAGGGAGGAGAATTCCAGGCAGAGGGAGCAACACATGCAAATGTCCTGCGGCCACAACAGAGTGGCTTATTTGAGTCAAAATAGGGAAGCGTGGCTGGAGGCCAGAGAGGGTGGGGTTGTGGGGGCTATGAGGGGCAGCCCACCCGCGCCCGTGGGCTGCAGTGAGGAGCTGGTGTGTCCCAAGGGTCCCTGGTGGGGTTTCAGCAGGGTGGGGATGTGATGACACTGGGTGTGTGGGGGCGGGACAGAGAGATGCTGTGGAGAGTCGGGGGCAGTGTGGCTGGTGCCCAGCACTGGGTGCCTTGGGGAGCTGGGAGCCCCGGGTCTCGGGGGGGCAGGAAGGCAGCCCCATGTTCAGTGCGTCCAGACCCACCCACACTCCTCTGGGAATGGGACCCTCCACCCAGAGCAGCCCAGAAGGGCAGGGGTCCTCCTCCACACAGACCCCACCTGCCTCTCCTGCCCCTTGACCCCTGAAGCCACCTCCTCTCCTGTCATCTCCACGGCCCCCACCCTGGACCAGGTCTTGCTCCCTCTGTCCAGGTGACAGGCCAGGGCTTTCTCCATGTCACTGCCCCCCACACCTGCCGTGGAGCCTCCCCTAATCTCTGAGGTCTGATCTCCTCCCTCCAGCCCCTCTTCTGCCCCACCCTGCCCCCCAGTCTGTGCTCTGGCCACTCTGGCCTCCCTTCTGTTCATGAAACTGACCAGGGGCCCTTGCGCATGCTGTTCTCCCTGCCGCCTAGAATGTTCTCTCCCAAACTGCCCCTCCTCCCTTCACTCATACTTTGGAGCTCTGGCCACACCTAGCTGCAAAGGAGGCTGGGAGGGCAGGGAACAGGATTGTTGTGACTGGATCAGACAGTCATGAGGGGCGTGCACTGTCCCAAACAAAGCCAGGGTTCTGACAGCAGGGGAAGAGAGGCCGGTACTGGCAGGGCATCCAGCGGGGTGTGCCCAGGCCCCTTTCCCCATTGCCCAATGCCCCAGAGCCCACAAGCTGGCTGAAACTCGCTGCTAAAGCCTCCCACTGTGTTGACCACAGCTGGGGCAGCAACTGGGGGATGGAGGCTTGTGCCCTTGCCACGGGAGCACGGAGAGTGGAGTAGCTCCTACTCATGAATGTGGGGCCTTGACAGCCCGTTCTGGGCCTCCGGGAGCCGTATCGCTCAGTCCCCCACAACCCTCGAGTAATGTGAGCTCTCCCTGGCCCTGCTCCCTGTGAGTGCTGAGGGTGGCTCTGTGAAAGAGGAACTTGCATTCACAGATTGTCTAGTGTCAAGCCGACCTTGCATTCCTGGAGTGGGCTGTGCTGAGGCACAGTGTGAGCCGCGTGTCTCCCATTTGCCCCTCCGGGTTTCTTCCCGCCTTCTCCACCTGCACCCTGCCCCAGGAGGCTGATTCTGATCAACTGCACCAGTGGCCTCCTGTGCCCTTTGGGTTTCTGTTGGGCCACGGGGGAGCCCCAGCAGGAGGTCAGAAGAGGGAGGAGAGTGAGATTGGGATGTTGACTTCCCTGGCTCCCTCCTTTTGGGGTCATCTCAGTGTTAGAGGTTGAATTGTGTCCTCCTAAAATTCGTATGTTGGAGCCCTAACCCTCAGGACCTCAGAATGTGACCTTATTTGGAGAGAAGGTCTCTACAGAGGGGGTCAAGCTAAGGTGAGGTCACTACTGTGGGCCCTGAACCAGCATGACTATGTCCTTATAAGAAGGGGACGTTTGGACAGAGACACACAGAGAAGGAAGATGATGTGAAGTGCCACGGGGTGGGTGGGGGATGGTGGCCGTCTGCAAGCCAGGGACAGAGGCCTGGGGCAGGTGCTCCCTCACGCCCCGAAGGAACAGCCCTGTGCCCTCGCCAGCTCGGCCGTCTGGCCTCCAGAATGGTGAGACGTCGGTTTCTGTTGTTCAAGCCCCAGCCTGTGCTGTCTTGTTACCGTGCCCCTAGCAAACCAGCACACTCAGATCCCTTGACTGAAGGTCAGCGCTCCTCCCGAGACATAAGGGGTCCCTCCTTCGTGGCTTGGCGACCACTCCCTGGGGTCTGGAGGTGGCGCCCACACCTCCTCTAACTCGCCCAGGGCTACTGGTGACCCCTCCACGACCACACGTTTGTAAGTAGCCCGCCTCACATTGTCCTCATATCATGCCAGCCTGCTGGGGCTCTGGCTGATGCGTGCTGCATTACTTACAAGCTTTTTTGGATTTACTATTTTGTTTAGGATTTTACATTTATGTTTCTGACTGAGATCGGCCCATAATTTTCCTTTCTTATACTCTTGGAACGACTGTCGTCAAGGCGACACCAGCCTCGGAGAGTGAGTTCGAGAGTATCCCTTCTTTTATCATTCACTGGAAGACCCCGGCTAAAGCGGGAACGATCTGTTCTTTGCAAGTTTGGTCGCATTCCCTAGAAATGCCCGTGCCCAGCGTTCTCTTCACAGGACGATATTTCACTACTGACTCAATATCTCAACAGTCACGGGACTCGTTGAGAATTCTGTTTCTTCCTGAGCCAGTTCCAGGAAGTTATGCTTTTATGAACCTATCTGTCTAAACTTTCACATTTATTGCCAGAAAGCAGTTCATGGTGTTCTCATCACTTAATCTCCGATGTGGTCGTTTTCTGTCAGCCCTGGAAGGTGTGCCACTGTCCCTGGCTTCCACTGCTACTGTTGAGAAATCGGCTTTCGGGCCAATTGTTGTTCTTTTGTGAATAACTTTTTCCTCGGTGGCTTTTGTGGTCTTTGTTTGACGGGCTGTGGTGTCACCACGACAGGTGCAGGCGTGGACTTCTCCTCTTCTGTCCGGCTCGCGGGGGTGGGACTTCATGCTCAGCTTGGATGTCTGCTGGTAGCCTTCCCAGGGCGACTCAGGGACCCAGGCTCCTTCTGTCTAGAGCTTCCAATGTCCCGTGATGCCTGGAGTCCACTACTGACCCTTCCTATATCAGAACGCCTTATTCCATGTCACAAATGACCTCACAGCTCCGTGACATAAAACAACAGCTGTGCACTGAGACCACAGCTCTGGGGGCTGGTAACTCGAGCTGGGCTCGGCCTGGGGGTTCTTCTGGGCCGGGCCGCTCCTCCACATATCTGGAGGCATCAGTGGGTCTCAGGCCACTGTGCTCCTGGGAGCTGACTGGCTGTTGGCTGGGGCCATGGGGTGACTCGGCCACATGTCTGCCATCATCCAGCAGCCTAGCCTGGGCTTGCTCGTGCAATGGAGGCTGGGCTCCAAAGAAAGAGTGGACCTGAGCATTTCCATCGTGTTTCGTTTGTCAAAGCAAGCCAGATTCCAGGCGTAGACAGACTCCATCTCTTAGTGGGAGGAGGTACGTGGTCACATTTCAAGGGGTGTGGTGCAGGGAGGGGACTATTTACAGCCAGTTTTTCAAACAATCTGCCACACTCTCTGCGCTAGTCTGCTTGGCTGCCATCACAGAATACCACAGACTGGGGGGTTTAAACAACAGACATGGATTTTCTCATAGTTCTGGAGGCTGAAGATCCAGCGAGGTTGGTTTCTGGTGAGACCTCTTCTCCTGGCTTGCAGATGGCTGTCTTCCTGCTGTGTCCTCACCTGGCCTCTCTCTGTGTGCGCTGAGAGAGAGATCTCTGGTGTCTCTCCCTCTACCTATAAGGCCATAGTTGTATGGGATCAAGGCCCCACCCTCACGACCTCATTTCACATTAATCACCTCCTTAAAGACCCTGTCTCCATATACAGTCACATTGCAGGTTAGGGCTTCACATGTGAATTTCGGGGACACAGTTCAGTCCATAACAGTCCATCTCAGCACACGATGAATGACAAGCGTGTGGAAGATGGCACAGGGCATCCTATGGCTGGGCCTGGAAGCGGTGGTCATCACCTCCACCCACACTCCACTGGCCAGAACCCCTTCAAACGGCCCCACCTCACTGGGAGAGCTGGGAACTGGAAACGAGTGAATGGGTGGGGGGACGCAGGCAAGGGCTTGCCATGGTCGGGCCGTGTGTGGTTTTCTCCAGCCACACCGAGTACCTGGAGATACAAGACGAGGCAGCCCGTCCCTCGTCCCCATCACCCCCTTGTGTTTGTAAAACACATGATCATTTTGAAAGACCCTCATACGCATAATCTCATCAGGGGCTCATTGTAATAATGTCGGGGTAGAAGAGGACACTGAGGCCAGAAGGACGGTGTGATGGTTAAAGTTCAACTTGGGTTGTGAGCGGCAGGTATAGTCCAGTCTCTGGCTGCAGGTCCCGTGGCTGCAGAGCCACTGATGGGGCAACAGCTCCCTATGGCCACAGTCTCATAATGGTGGCAGTGTCCCCGGCCATGAGGTGGCACCCGTGGCTGTGTGGTAAGTCAGTGGTACAGCTGTGACCCACGGATTCTTGGAAGGTGACAGCCATGCCCCACGGCTGTGGAGTCCAGCTGTGTGTGGTGCAGGGCTGGGGTGCCATCCTGTCTCAGGAAAGTGGCTGTGCTTCCCTGCTGCCCTGACTCCTGAGGCTTCCACGGCTCTCCAGCCTCCCCTGGGTTTACCAGAGGCCTGACATTCTTCCAGCAAATTCCTTCCTGCTTTAGGGGCCAGTTTCTGCCACTCGCAAACAGCAACTCTGGCTGTAACAGCTGGGGAAACTCTTAGTCGGCTCAGGCTGCTGTAACAAAAATACCATAGACTGGGTGGCTGAAACAACAGACGGCTGTTTCTCACCGTCCTGGACATCGGAAGTCAGAGACCAGGGGCCAGCACGGTTGGGTTCCGGTGTGCCAAACACCTTCCAGGTGTGCAGACAGCCACCTTCCTGCAGTGTTGGAGATGGACCATCTCTCTCGTGTCTCTTCTTACAAGGACACTAATCCCATCGTGGGGGCTCCACCCCCATGACCTGACCCCCTCCCAGGACCCACCTCCTAACACCATCCCTTTGGGGCTTGGGCTTCAACACCCGAATTTGGGGGGACACGAACATTCAGTCTACAGCAGGCACTGGGGAGCAGACAGGCCGGGAGCCGACCCAGGGTCTGGGAGCAGAGCCGGGCAGGAAGCTCGCCCGCCTGTCTGCAGCCCTGGCGCGGCACAGAGTGGGAGGGGAGCTGTCTGTCCCTGCCGCAGCCCACATTTCCTGGGGCCAGTGCGGGAGCAGGTGCAGCTGCAGGCGTGGCAGGAGCCTGGGCTGGGGCCAGCGCTCAGGAATGCAGCAGGGCACTGCCCCTCCCTGCAGGGACGACCATGTGCCAGGCGCCCGGGGCGGCGGATGTGTCAGTGGCCACAGTCCCTTTCCGCCATCCGGCTCCACACCAGCTGTCCCTGGGCCAGCCCCTGGGGGCCTGAGATGTATGGGGAGCATGAATGGAGCTCTATGGCTGGGCAACTGCTCTGTGGAAGGCAGCTGGTGGCCCACACGTGACATGGGGGGTGGGTGGAGGGGACGAGACAAGGGGAGACACAGAGCTGCTTCCTGGGCCTGGTGTGGCCCTGCTCTGCATTAGGCCCCAGCAAGACATCCGCGGGGGATCAGAATCAAGCTTGTGGCCCACTAGGGGCCTGCACTCTCAGATCCCCAGGGACAGTGGGAAGGGGGTGCCCGGAGGGCGTGGACCTGTCCTCTGCACTCAGCATGGTGGCTGCTGAGCTGGGACTCCAGCACAGGGCTCTGCCTGCCCCCAAGGCTCCCACTCTGGGCTCAGCCGACACGGGTCAGTCTTGGTTGGGGAGACCTCATGGCTCTAAGCGTCAGCTCCATCCTCTGTGAGTGACAGGACCCAGCCCTGGGGGCCTGGATGGGGACAACGACGCACACAGATGCCCCGTGGGAGTCAGCTCGTCTTGCCCATGCAGATAACAGCATACTTGTTTCTCTCTTCCCTCTTACCCCCCTGGAAGGCAAGCCCCTGAGGATGGGACCTTGAGTAGGGCACATCGCTTCTCTAGGGTGCTGCCCCTACCTCTGCCAGCATCCCCTTATCTGTTGGATGCTCCTGAACTCGTGGGTGTGGGAGATCGTCTTAGAGATGGGGGCTGACGTCCAGGGTGTAGACCTGCCAGGTCTCCCGAACCACCTGGGCTCGGAAGGAATCAGGGGCATCTGGACCAGAATGACAGGGTGGAGGAGGGGAAATCCAGAAGCTGGGAGGGCCCCCTCGAAGGGGACTCCCAGTGGGCCCTTACAGAACAGCACAGCTCCTCAGGGCCATCTCCCCTTACGGGAGGGGGTTGTAAGATCACCTTTAGTGGGACAGCTCTCAGGCAGGGGTGGGGAGACCAGACATGGGGACCTGGGGCACTGTGGTGCACAGTGGGTCCCCAGCCCACCCACCACCAGACAGCAACCCGCACTGGGTCCTTGCTGCCTGGGGACACAAAAGGACCCCCCTCCATCACCCTGCCTGGGGGGTGGGGGCGGCCTGGGCGAAGGGGGCAGGGGGCTGGAGGGCTGGGGGCTAGGCAGTGTCCTGGCCAGGGTGGTCCCAGGGTCAGTCTGTTGCCAGGGTGTCTGGTGATAGCCCTGAGGTGGTGGGAGGGGCAGGTGCCAGAGGGTGAAGGCAGGTTGGTTGAAGACAAACTTTAAAATTGGGAAGCAAGGACACAGGAGTGTCCCCTTTCTGTTGGGTTGTTTGCTTTTGGAAGAGAAGCACCTCCCTCCCCACGCTGAGCAGTGTCGGAGCCCCAGACGGAACCTGGTTCTGGAAGGGGGCTCCGGTGGCCTCAGGCGCCCGCTGCGCCCGTTGCCCCGGCCGCGCAGGGGCGCGCACCTCGGCAGGGACGCCCCACCC